AATTTTGGGTAATAAAAAAAAACCCGGAGGGGTGCCTGGGTGGCTCAGTCAGTTAAGCGTCTGGTCTGACCCTTGATTTTGGCTCAGGTCATGATCTCAGGTGTTGTGGGATCAAGCCCCACATCAGGCTCTGCACTGACATCTGCTTGGAATTCTCCCTCCCTCTCTCTCTCTCTCTCTCTCTCTCTCTGGCCCTCCCCTGCTCCTGCTTACTCACTCTCACTCTCAAAATAAATAAATAAACACTTAAAAAAAAAACCTGGAGGGGAGCCTGGGTGGCTCAGTCGGTTAAGCATCTGACTTCAGCTCAGGTCATGATCTCGCAGTTCCTGAGTTTGAGCCCCTCATTGTGCTGACAGCTCAGAGCCTGGAGCCTGCTTCAGATTCTGTGTCTCCTTCTCTCTCTGCCCCTCCCCTGTTCGCACTCTGTCTCTCTCTCAAACATAAATAAACATTAAAAATTTTTTTAATTAAAAAAAAAAAAACCTGGAAACAAATTAAATGCCCAGCATTGGGAAAACAGATAAGTATGTTGTGGTATATTCACAATGGAATATTATACAGCCGTGAAAAGGATAAACTACAGTTACATGACTTTAAGATAAATCTTATATAATGCTGACTACATTAAGTCCTGGAATACCACTTATGGTGTGATACTATTTTTATAAAGCTCAAAAATAAACAAAACTTACAAAGTTCATTCTTTAAGCATGCATACATAGATGATTTTTTTTTCAAAAGGCAGGGAAACAATACACTAAAAATTCAGGGTGTTAGCGACTTCTGGGGGGTAGGTATGGCATGATAATGTAGAGGGATTCTGGCTATTGGTGATGTTCTAGATCTGCATTTGGGAGGTGAGTTCAGGAGGGTCATTGCATTATCATGCCCCCAAACTTACACATGCATTACATAAACTCCTTTGTATGCACCAAATGTAAATAAAGATGTAATAAAAAGGGAATAGTTTTCTCCTTTTCATTTTACTTTTCTGTATTATGATTTCTTCCCCCCAAATATATATGTTTTTTTTTTCCTAATCAGAAAAAAAAGAAATATATTACATTATCTGGGAAATGTCTCTTGCTAAATTCAGGAATCATTTATAAATAGAACTGTGTTAGGATACTTGGTGTAAGAAAAGCATATCTAAGAGGCTGACCAATTTCCCTGGTCATTTAATAACTATGTGTGGAGTACAAACCTTCCTGATGGTGGCTTCACCCTGAGATTTCCTTTCAGTTGATGGCTCAGAGTTCAGGAGAAGAAGCATCAGTCTTTGGCAACCTGAGAACCTAGCTGTGAATGCCAGCTCTGTCATTCAGTAGCTGTGTGTCCTTTGACAATGTACATAACTTCTCTGAGATTTGGATTCTTTGTGACTGTAAGAGCACAGTGATGTTTACTTTGAGCTTTGCTTGGGTGGGTTAAGGATAAAGTATATGAAGTGTCTGTCTTCTGGTCTGCCCGCACTTCTATTGCGATCCTCCTGCCCCAATAATGATCGCACCTTATTATAGTATAGCCCTTTACAGGTTGCAAAAGTGTGTGGGGAATTATAGTCATTATCTGATCCTGAAAAAAGGCCTAACTTTATTAAAATAATACCTTACATGTATAGAATACTTGCTATGTTTATAAGAATAATATAATAGTGGGTGCTCAGTAAGTGCTGATGGAATAAATGAATAAATGCTTTCAAAGGTGGGTGTAACAAGAGAAAAAATAGTGGACTGCTCCTTTTGGGAATTCATTTTATAAACTTCTTTTAAAGTTTTATTTATTTATATTGCGAGAGAGAGAAAGCATGCATGAGTGGGGAAGGGGCAGAGAGAGAGAGAGGGAGAGAAAGAATCACAAGCAGGCTCCGCGCTGTCAGCACAGAGCCCAACACAGGGCTCCATCTCACGGACTCAAGTCATGAGTTGAGATCAAGAGTCAGAGGCTTAGCTGACTGAGCCACCCAGGCACCCCAGAATTAATTTTATGAGGCTAGAAGCTGCCTCTATGGCAAAGGTAGGCAGCAGGTCTGAATCTCCCTGTTAAATTGAGGGGAACTTCAGGGCAGGCCAGAGCCCTGAAGCAGCCCCTGAGTCATTCTGGTGAACAGCCAGAGTCTGGCAAGGGGCCTTGCACTTGTCAAAAGACCCTGGCAGGGCCTTTTCCGGCTCTTGCTTGTGAAAAACTAGAAGTAAAAAGAGAGAGTTGGTGCCACCTGGAGGGTGAGAGTAGGCAACTCAGACAAAGGCTAGAAAAATTCTTAGAATAAGACAGGTCTTTTAGTTCAGGGGTACAGGTGGGGTGGTGGTAGTAAGAATGTACCTTAAAAATAACCTGTGCTTTTTAAAAATTAAATTGTTATTGAGATAACTGTAGATTCATGAGCAGTTGTAAGAAATAATATAGAGAAATGCCAGGTGTCCTTTACCCAGTTTCCCCCAATAATAACATTTTGTGAAACCATAGTGTATAGATAAATGGAACAGAATTTAGAGTCCAGAAATAAAGCCGTACATTATTGTCAATTGATTTTTTAATTTTGTTAAATGTTTATTTATTTATTTTGAGAGAGAGAAAGAGAGATAGAGAGTGAGCAGGAGAGGGGCAGAGAGAGAGGGAGACAGAATCCTAAACAGGCTCCACACTGTCAGCACGGAGCCTGATGCAGGGCTCAAACCCACAAACTGTGAGATCATGACCTGAATCGAAATCAAGAGTCGGGCGCTTAACTGACTGAGCCACCCAGGCACCCCAAGTGTCAATTGATTTTTGACAAAGGTCAAAACCACAATTGTCAAAGGTCAAATTGACCAAACACAATTCAATGGGTGAAAGAACAGTCTTTTTGACAAATGGTGCTGGAACAACTGGATATCCAAAAAACAAACAAACAAACAAAAAAACAAAAATGAAGTTGGACCCCTACCTCACACCACATACAAAAACTAAAATGAGCCAAAGATCTAAAATTTAAGAGGTAAAACTATAAAATTCTTAGGTAAAAAAACATAAGGATAAATCTTCATGACCTTGGCTTAAGCAATGATTTCTTACATATGACAGCAAAAGAACAAGCAACAAAAGAAAAAATAAACTGGACCTCATTAAAAAAAAAAAAAACTTTTCATCTTCAAATGACATTGTAAAACAAGTAACAAAAAGACAAGCCACAGAATGTAAGAAAATATTTGCAAATCATATACATAAGGATCTAGTATCCAGAATATATAAAAATATCTTACAACTCTAGAATTAAAAAAAAAACAATTTTAAAATGAGCAAAGCATTAAAATAGACAATTCTTCAAAGTAGAATGCATACAAATGGCATGTAAGAACCCAAAATATCATGAACCATTGAGGAAATGCACATCAAAACCACAATGAGATACCATTTCACACCCACTAGGATGGCTATAATCAAAAGACAATCAAAAGATCAAAAAGACAATAAGTGTTGGTGAGGATGTGGAGAAACTGAAATTGAAATTGAAATTGCTGGTGGGACTATAAAGTGGTGCTGATGCTTTGGAAAATTAACTGTTTATAATGTTAAACTGTTATCATATAACCTAGCATTTCTACTCCTAGGTATACACCCAAGAAAAATGAGAATACATGTCACATAAAAACTGGCATACAAATGTTCATAGCAGCATCATTCATGAAAGCCAAAAAGTAGAAACAACCCAAATGCCTGTCAACCAATAATGCATGGTAAATGAAATGTGGCATATCCATAAAATGGAATATTATTCAGCAATTAAAAAGAATGAAGTACTCACTCATGCTATGACATGGCTGAACTTCAAAAACATTATGCTAAGTGAAAAAAGCCAGATACACAAAAGGCCACATATTGTATGATTCCATTTATATGAAATATCCAGAGGAGGAAAATCCACTGAGACAGAAAGTAGATTAATGGTTGGGGAAGGAAGGGGAGTGAGGAATGCAGATTGACTGCTAACAGATACCAGGTTCTTTTAGGAGTGAGGTCTGCAATTAGCGGCGATGGGTACACAATTCCAAAGACACTGAGAACCATGAGTTGTGTATTTAAAAAGGTGAATTTTAGGTAGTGTTACAGCTCAATTTTTTAAACTAGTAAAATTAATAAAACATAATATCACAACCAGTGTATTGAATATTGGTACAATCTACCAATGTTATTCATTGTTTCTCTTGTACTTTCAGTATTCTGTGTCTTTATAAAGGACTTAGCAATTATCATGAAGAATGTATATTAACATTTAAAAACAATAAAAACCGTACAATTATATATATAAGCCCTTCCTTAGAGCCCATACGATTATCTATACAAGCCCACCCCCTACAATTCTCATTCTCGGAAAGGTATTTGTAAAAATTGTACATTTTGGCCTCGGTATACGGTTTTATAGAATATTAAAACATAAAATTATATTTTAGCATATCGCCTCCCAAATCATCAGAAATATCCCTTTAGAGAGGGTGTGGAATATTTCATCGGATAGATACACCATAATTCCCTCAACCATCTCATTTTTGCTGGTCATTTAGAATGTTTCTAGGTACTTTGCTGCACACTGCCGCAGTGAGCAACTTTATTTTCTTGAGGATGATTTCCACCAGATAAGGGGTGGGTTACTGGTTAAGGATTTTGAACATCTTTCTGGCTCTTAACAATTTCATCTTGGCTCAAGATCCCCCTCCCCTGCTTCCTCCAAGTCCCCAGCCTCCGTCTCTGCAAAGCCAGACCCTAGAGGCTGGCCCCTCCCCCTTAGTCCCCTCCTCTCGCTAAGCTGTTACCTCCTCTTTCACTTGTGGGCCTCAGCCCCAGACCCCTGCCGCTCGTGTCCACTCCTGGCTCACCAGGTCTCCTTCTCCCCCGCCCGGTTTCGGGCAGCCCCCTCCTCAGGCAAGCCGATTGCCTACCATGCGTCAGCTCTCGGCCACCCTGACTCGGGTTTGCCGTAGCCAAATGCAGTTTGGCACGCTGGCACGCACCATCCTTACCTTAGCTTCAGGGTGTCCCGCGCAGATGCCCAGGAAGACCTAAACTGTGGGTGACGTTTCGTTTTCCCCTTTCAGCCCATTCCAGCCTTCTGCGCTAGGGCGGCGCATCTAGTAGGCGCTCGATAAGTATCCAAAGTATTTTAAAAGCATATTGAAGTTCCTATGCTGGCTTTTTACTTTCGATCCCTGAAAGTTAATAAAGTACAAAACAATTTGCACCAGGATTAGATGTGATGGGGGGTGGGGGTGGGCAGATAGGAATTATAAGAGAAAGTTCATGCATTCATTCAGTTTACAGGAATTGACTTGAGCACCTACTGTATGCCAACACTAACCACGACAGTGAATAAAAGACAATAAAATCGATAGTGTAAAAATACAGTGTGTTATATGGTGGTTCGAGCCAGGGAGAAAAAAAATCAGGCGAGGTAAGGAAACAAAGTGAAGACACCCAGAAAAGGTGAAAATAGTAACAGGTAACAATTGGGTGTCTACTGAGGGCCTCACCTTCGAAAGCCCCTTTAAAATAACGCCACAACGCAGTGAGGCAGGAACGACCGCTCCCATTGCACAGATAAGGAGGACGTAAGGTGCAGAGTTGGGGTGGTCAGCCCCGAGTCGAACGCCTCCGCCCTTCCCCCCGAGCCCCCAGCCCTGGGCCCGCCCCTCCCCGGCAGGGAAAAGGTTAACGCCGGGCGCAGCGACGGAGAGTGTGCGCATGCGCAGAGCGCGGATTGCGCTTGCGCGGAGATCCGGGCGACGTGGCCGGCCGGAAGTGGTCTGTGCGGAACCGCCGCCGGACAACCCCTGCTCGCTGAACCCGGCTAGCGCAGGGCTGCTGCTTTGGGCCCCGCCGGCACCACCATGCTGAAGAAATTTGATAAGAAAGACGAGGAATCGGGTGAGAGGGCGTAGGCTTGGGGGAGGCTGGACCCTCTTACAGGCTCTCTGCACCCTCCTTGGGTGCCTCCTTCGGGGCCTCTGCCTAGACCTGAAGCCGAGACCCAGTGAGGGTCAGGGGCTTATGCCAAGGTCCGCAACTGGTCAGCGGCGGGCCTCGGAGTGCCCGAGCATGCTCCGCTGCCCCCACTCGTAAGCTCGGACCACTATTCGCTCGGTGACCTTGGGAGGGTCACTCTCCTGTGGGCCTCGGTTTCCCCAGTTGTCAGGGGAAGGGGCAGGGCCTGGTGAACCACTGTGACTTTCGCCGGGTGACCTCTTGGGATTCGCTGGGCTGCGTTGCTACTGGCCAAATGGGGCATAATCTGTGGAGCCAATGTTCTGCGCTGAGAACCCTCTTTAATGTAACTACTCAGCAAATATGTATTGATCGCTTACAGTATTCCAGGCACTGTACTGTGTCCTGATACTGCAGTGGAACAAATGAGACACTCAGTGCCTGAGCTGGGAACATTAAAATGGTCACAGGCGAAGTCAGAGAAGATAGACATCAACCAGATAATGACACATATAATTATTTACAAATGTGACATTTGCTGTGAAGAAATCCTGGTCACTAGATGATGGTTCCCGCATATTGTAAGGGATTCAGTTAAGTACAAGTTGCATAAATGAATGCAAGACACGATGCTATGAGAGGCACAGAGGACTATATCAGGGTTGCTAGGTGACTTAAGGAAGTGGTTTGAGGTAGAGTGGTAGGACCTATATGCAGGTTGTAGAGCTTTGATTGCCATTCTGGAGTAGTTTGAACTTGACTAAGCAGACGGTAATGACATCTTTCCCTTCTCTATGTTTCTGTATATGCAATTCAGGCTTACAACCTATACTCACTCTTCTCCGTTCTCTGACTTTAGGTGGAGGCTCCAACCCATTCCAGCATCTTGAGAAGAGTGCAGTACTCCAGGAGGCAAGTGTCATTTGTCATCTGCCATCCTAAGTGTTCACAGTCAACGTGCTCAAAATACTATGGTTTAAAGAACAGTAGGGGAGAAAACCTGTTCCTGGAAAGACAGGAACGCTTTGCTCCTGGAGAGAGTTCAATACGCTTGCAGTTGTTCTTGTTCTGTGTTTCTCTTTCCAGGTAACACATGTTTATTGAGTATCTGTTAGTAAGTCAGCATGTCCCTAACTGATATTTAGGGCAGATTTCAGGAGTTCTTAATAGATGAATTAGGGAGAAAGCAAAACAAAACTTTCCTTATGAAAATAAGCTTATCCAGGCAAATGTATTTATTTACCCTGGGACTTCTCAGAGCTTGAATGTACCTGAGAGGCAGTCAATGGAAGGGAAATAAACTAAGTCAGAAGGTAATGTTCTTGGTTGCTTCTTTTTAGGCCCGTGTATTTAACGAGACACCCATCAACCCTCGAAAATGTGCCCACATCCTCACCAAGATCCTTTACCTCATAAACCAGGTAAGAGAGTGAAGTTTGGGGGCAGGGAACATGGTGCTGGGAGTTGTTGGGGGCATTAGCGTAAGTCACATAGCCCTTAGGGTATTTGATAGCTCCTGTGTGGATATAGCCCAGCTCTGGGTTCCCTCAGGGTCTAACTCTGATGTGTTTGCCCTTGATGGAGCCTCTGTAGGGTCTGTGGATGTGACCTGGGCTGATCTGGCAGGAAGAGCCTTCTGGCCTCTCTGTCCCAAGCTGAGACTTCGTTTTTTATTGAAACAGGGGGAGCACCTAGGGACCACCGAAGCAACCGAGGCCTTCTTTGCCATGACCAAGCTCTTTCAGTCCAACGATGTAAGTGCCCACAGTCAGTATGGTCTACCTTTGTGTGGATTGGAGTTTTCCTAACCTTGGCTTTCATGTTGAGTCAGTGGTCATAGGCTTTTTCTCTCTCTTTCCCAGCCCACACTCCGTCGGATGTGCTATTTGACCATCAAGGAGATGTCTTGCATTGCCGAGGATGTCATTATTGTTACCAGCAGGTGAGTCTTCGGGTCTGTGTATGGCTCCTTTGACGGGTGCCATTGACACAGAAGCCATTTTTACTCATGTGTATCAGGTGATGAGACTTTTGTCTGACATAATGTCAGGTGCCCCTTCCTCTTCTGTCTCCCTCACTTTTCAGTTACTGCTGCCCCTCCATGGCACTCTAGAGTGTGCAGTTTCCCTAGCCTTACCTGAGGCACAAACCCTTCCTTGCCTTGATTCCTCTCAGTCAACTGAGCCAGGCTGGAGCTTACGAAAGACTTTAGTGAGTGCCAAGAGAGAACACAAGAAAAACAGACATAGAGAATGCAGGGGGTATACAAACAGGTTCATTTCCCAAGTACCGGTTTCTGTGTTAGACTGAGTTATTCAGGGGAAAGGTGTGTCTAAAATATAATCCTTGTCCTTAAGAACTGGAGCTCAGTTCTCTTCTTGCCACAGTTTATGGGGGGCAGGGAGATGCTATACATTCCATTGTAGGTTGCTTTAGAAAGCATTTTATGAACATCTACCAGTCCCTATGCATAACTTTGGGAAGCTAGCAGCAAGTAAAGTAGACATGGCCTCTGCAGTCCCAGAGAAACAACCAAGGAGACAGGCATTAGAATATATAACAGAGTTTATCCGGGGAAGTATGATAGGCTGTGAGAACACACCAGAAGGATATACAACTTGAATTTGGATCAGGAAAGGCCCCCTAGACCTGTCTGAGCAAAGTGCTGAAGGATGAGCAAGAAATAGCAGGACAGTGCTCACTTCAGCAGCACATACACTAAAATTGGAACAACTCAGGGAAGATTAGCATGGCCCTTGCACAAGGATGACAGGCAAATTCGGGAAGTGTTCCATATCCCCCCCCCCCCCAAAAAGAAAAGAATGAAAGAAGCCACTGAAAACTAATCTCTTCCGAAAATGCTTGTTAATAGCAGGACAGAGATGGAGAGGGCCTGGAGTACTCTAGGCTGAGGGAATAGCAGATGTCAAGGCCCGGAGAGGAGAGTCTCTGTTAAGGAGTTTACGCTTGATGGTAATGGGCAGTAGGAAGCCTTGGGAATGTTTTAATCCAAGCAGGGAAGTGACCTGGTCCATTTGGAGATTGATTGATTGATTGATTTTTGAGGAGGGGGGGGTGCAAGTGAGCGAGGGACAGAGAGGGACTCACCCAAAGTGGGGGTCGAGCTCACCTGATGCGTGGCTCAAGCTCACCCGATGTGGGACTTGAGCTCATGCATGTGGGACTTGAGATCATGACCTGAGCCGAAGTCAGATGCTTAATGACTAAACCACCCAGGCGCCCCAGAGTCTGGAGTTTTGTAAAAAATCTCTCTTGTTGCTGCTTGGAGTTTGACCGGGAAAGAGTAAGAATACAGCAAGAATGCTAGTTAGACTCGTGTAGTAGTCCAGACAAGGGGGTGTGACTAGAGCTAGGGAGGAGCGGGTGCGGACAAGGGCTTGGGGAGGACAGGCCATGCTCCTGCGCGGACAATGCCTTCCCCTCCCACAGCCTGACAAAGGACATGACTGGGAAAGAAGACAACTACCGTGGCCCGGCTGTGCGTGCCCTCTGCCAGATCACTGATGTGAGTCTGCTGCCCCTGCTGAGCTGTTCCTCTTTTTCCCTGCTTCTTGGGCAAGGCTCAGTCATGATCCTCTGTGCATGCATTAGGTTGTCCCACGTCTCCTGAGCAAAGCACTGAGCCAGGTGGTGTGGGGATGAGGGTAGGGTGCAGGAACACAAGAAACAGGTTTGCTTCCTTCCTTCTTGTCCCCACTCTTCCCCACCCATCACTTGCACTCCTGACGGTTGCCAAGGATTGATTGGGTCCCCTTCTGCCCCACTCATTGTCCCGACAGAGCACCATGCTGCAGGCTATTGAGCGCTACATGAAACAGGCCATCGTGGACAAGGTGCCCAGTGTCTCCAGCTCTGCCCTGGTGTCTTCCTTGGTATGTAGCTGGGGACCCTGTGGCTGGGGCCTGGGCAGCAGATTGGGAAACTGAAGAAAATATCAGAGTTGCTTTTCAGTAGGAAAAAGAAAGTCTCTATATCCCTTCCCAGATCTGAGAGTCCCACCCACCTTCTCAGTGAAGAGTGCCTGGGGAACTCTTGACCCATCCCTTGGGGTGACAGATTGTGGGGAGTTTGGGCCTCGTGGGAGATCTGCCACCAGAGCAGAGAGTGAGGGTGGGAGCTGTCCTTGTGTGCTGTGTCAAGAGAACCAGGACAACGGAGAGGCTCTGGGCCATGTCTGAGGGAAGACCCAGAGCTGGACTGAACTGTGAGCCAGGGCCAGGAGGCATGATGGCAGGGCACCCTGTCTGCCTGCCTCTTAATGTGCTCTGTTGCCCTTAGCACCTACTGAAGTGCAGCTTTGACGTGGTCAAGCGCTGGGTGAATGAGGCCCAGGAGGCGGCGTCCAGTGATAACATCATGGTCCAGGTGAGGTGTGAGCAGAGCAATGATATTGATGATTCTTAGGCAAATGACCTGGGACTGGTGATTCAGAAATGGACGCTCACCCCGGAGATCCTGGTGTCCTCTAGCAGGAGCAGGCTTTCATCTTTTGTCACTGGATTGTGGGGAGACTTGGGGGTTTGGGGAAACGATCCAGGGTACCACTTGGGATGGTTTAAGTTACGAGCTCCTTACCGGCTGGAACTAAAATATTCAAGTGTCTGATAACCAGCTGAGTTGTATTTTGGGATATGCATATAGCAAACTTGGCCCAGGCAGCCAGAGAGCCTTTGCCGAGCT